TGTTACTGGATGTCCTCAAGGATCCACTGTGCCATGTGTCCTTGAGGTTGTTGGTTACATCCGGTAACAAGACCCAATGAGAGTGACTTCAGTACCCGGTTAAAAGCAGTGGAGAACTTTCAGGGGAAATTAACAGGAGGTAACTGATAACTGACATCCATCAAACATGGCACGTGGAACTAGAACAGTCTACCCCAGTGATCAAAATAAAGTTCAGTTTGACATTCCAACCACCTGAAGAAGGCCGGAGCGTACAACGGCCGAAACGTTGTGATAAATATGGCGACAAAGATGAGGACAATAGTCCGAATAATGTAAATAAAGAGAAAGATATCAGAAAATTGAGTAAGCTGATTGCGTAGGGAAATCAAATATTTAGGATCTGAAACCTTTCGCCCAGTCAGAGAAAATGCTGTGTAAAGAGCCTGTATTTGAGAACAGGAAAACTGTGGTCATTTGAGAGATGTTGTTTTTCTCTACCTATAAAAGGCAGGATGTGTGTGTGTGTGTGTGTGTGTGTGTGTGTATGTGTGTGTGTGTGTGTGTGTGTGTGTGTGTATGTGTGTGTGTAACGAATGCACGGCCGCAATTTTCGACGGATTTGCACCAAAATTTACATGCACATGCTCCAAGTTAGTGGAAAGGCCAAGACCGACCTTGCATTTCCCAACTCCCATCGACAGTGGAAATAATTGATTTTTTCATGCTTCTACGGCAGTTGTCATGTAGTTTGCGGCCATTTTCTACTGGCCAGAGTGAGAGCCTATAGCTGGCTGCGATGAATAGGCAGGAAGATTCTATTGGCCAGTGTGAGAGCCAACAGCTGACTGACACGAATGTTAACTAGCATGCTAGCATGCAAAAAAAATCGATAGCTGAATTCGTCACAAGTGGGAAAAATTTAAATCTGCATGGCACTTTGCTCCAATTGGCTCATTCGCTTGCTTAAACTCAACGTTGATTCTGATTCCGCAGAACTGGGTTGGGTGTGAAAAATTATTTGTTGTTAACATTCTTTTTTCATTCGGTTTTCCAGTTACGAGTCCTTTTTAAAAGCTGATCGTTTTGTGTTCATTTTTTTAGTTCTTTTTTCGTAACAGATTTAATGTTTAGTATAGAGCTTAGAAAAAAATTCGCAGTGTGAGATAGGTAAGAAGTAAGGCATGTAGCAACATCAGCACGGCAAGGGCACTCCTTTAAAGGCAAGGAAGGGCAAAAATATTTTAAGTCAAGTGATAAACGATTGCTGTATGAGTCAAACGATTTTTTGAATCAAGAACGGGCAACGCCGGGCCATGCTGCTAGTCAAATATAATACAGAAAAAAAATTAATTATATTTGCAATTTTTTTCTTTTTTTTTTATGCATTACGCCCACGAGCAAAGCGTAAAGCCACTAGGATGCAGGGGGCTTGCAGAAGATTTGGAGCAAGAGCAGATGGGAGTGATAGAAGAAAGGATTAGGAGAGGAGATTATGTGCAGAGGGATAGGGATAGATCAAGGTAACTGGAAGTGTCAATTGACATTACATTTGAATAGTTGGAGATTATAGCTCTCAGGAAACAGTAATTGGGAAGGGTTTTCCACAGGCGAGAGGTGCGAGGTATGAAGCTATTGGAGTAGAAGAGACGGCTACATTTAAAAGTGTCAACAGTGTGGGTGGGAGCGGGATGCCAGCCTTGTGGGGATTAATTCATGGAGTCTGGGAACCAGTGAAAGCAGCTCATCGGAGCAATTACCATGAAAGTATTTGTAGAAAAGACTGAGAGAGGTGATGGCGCGTCTGTGAGAGAGCAACTGTAGACGAGATGCCAGATCAGGGCCAATTATATTACATATCCGTTTCTGGATCTTGTCAAGAACTTCGAGGTAAACAGAAGGTGTCCCAGACCATATATGGCAGCAATACTCCATGCAAGGGCGAATGGTTGATTTGTATATTTGAAGTACCGATTCCGGGGAGAAAAATTTCCGGTGGAAGAATCAATTGACTCAATGTATTTGTTCCATCTCAGGTCAGCAGTCAACGTGAGACCGAGCAGATGCAGGGAGTTGCTCTCAAGAAGTTGACTATCAGACATTTTAATGGGAGGCAGGGAAGGATCTCTATGGTGATTAACAGAGAGTAGTTTAGTTTTTGAGGCGTTAAAGTTGACCAGCCAATTCTTGCCCCAATTAACACTCGACTGGAAATAAAATAATAAAAAAAAAAAAAAAAAAAATACGTATTAGTAAAACTTATCTTTGTTTTATGTCATTCATGCTTTTCAGGCCGTATAACTGTTCAACTCTTGTTTTCTTTGTTTCGAAATTAATTTTCCTGTTTTTTAAGAAATTGTTAGGTTTTGTTAGGTTACTTTTACTATTTCAATTTGCCTTCGAATTTCTGTGCCATGTTCATGTATTGATCGCAAGGTAACAATGCGTCTCCACGTTTTTGTTTGAATTTATTTCAAAACCATTCAGACTCTATTGTCCTCAGATCTCAATTCAGTGCATACCAGATGTCGGCCCGCCTATTCTGTTAATGCCTTTGTTTCGAAATTGAATGGAATTATAATATTACTAGGCTTACTTATAGGTTAATTACTTTTTTTGATATAACTGAGAGTGACGACCAGTGTATGTCAGTGTCAAAGACAAACTTAAAAAAAAAAACAAAGTTTTATCGTCAAAATGTTTATGTTATTATTAAGATGAAAGCCTAACGTATTTTCTATTATTATTTTTTTTAATTTTTAATCCTTTCTAGCACGTTTGAACATTTGATTCAAAATTTTGTTTTGTTTACGTCATCGGACCCGGGTAATAATTACAAATTACGCATTTTTTTTCGGTGAAAACACATTAATTTGGAAATTCTTGAAAAATCAAATAGTTGTCGGATATTAATTAAACTTTCAGAACTTATTAAAAAATGAATGAAATTATTTTGAAATTTTTTGATGTAGAAAATTTTGGTAAAAAATGTATTTTTTTACATATGTTAAACCCCCCAACTTAATTTCAAAAGATTTCGTGAAATACCTTTCTATTTCCTGAATTTTTTATTAGAAAAAGTAGGACTCCTTGGAAAATGTAAATCATCTATTTTTTCAAACTTTTACTATTCTAAATGAAAAACTGCTCCGAATAGTAAACTAAAAAAAAAAAAAAAAAATTGGAACCAAACTATGACATTATTTAATTATAAAAGCTTTTATTTGCTTTTGTAAATGAAGGACAGTATTGTCTGAAGAAATAATTTTTTTTCGATGAATAATGAATTTTTACAAGAACTTTTTCATTTTCTTAATAGTTTAATTATAATAATAATAGTTTAAAAATCTGTATTGGGCTATTACCTAGATGTGATATAGTAATTAAGTGGAAACGAAATTTACGAATCCAAAACCTGAAAAAAAAAATTAATAAACGTCGTTTTATTATTTTAATTTTAAAATATTTTTTTTTATTATATTTTATTTTTTTCACTTTAATTGTTCCCTTTTTACATCTATGATAGCCTAAACATGTCATTATTATGAAAACGTCACGTGCTTGGATCGAAAGAAAAAACAGAAAAATGTTTTTTTGCTAATGTTAATTAAAATTTATTAACTATAAATTATTAAACAGTATTCTAATTATTATAAAAAATTCTAGATCAGTGTGTTAATTTTTTTCCTTATATATCTTTATTTTAATTTCATCTGTTATTAAATTTTAAAATTAATTTAAGAACATTTTATAGTACTTAAAATATTTTTAATTTTTCATAAAGCATCTTCAAACATAACTAAAAGCCAATAAAATATTACATAATAGCTGATAATATATTAATTTGTAAAAATTACTTGGTAGTTAAAAACGACAAAAATACGTTCAATTAGATTTCCTAAATTTACGTCAATTCTGGTCATCCATACTAGCTGTCATCACCTCAGAACTTATCGATACGTCAATAAATATCAAAGAAAATCAGGACCTGTTGTTAACAAATACTTGTATATTACTTTTCATTCTGTAAGTAATATTTATTTCAAATCAAATTAATTTAACTTTAAATTTGCTAATTTTACTTAAATAACGTGTCACAAATATATATTTCATTTTTTGAAGATTTTTAAAACCGATAAATTTGTTTTGTTAAAAAATGAGATTCTGATCAATATAATTTTTATTTGAAATACACCAGAATATTTTACTTATTGGAAATAATAAATTTAATCATTTAGCTTTCAATTAAAACTAAAATGAAATCTCCAAGAATGCTTTTTCATTTTTTAAAAATTCATTTTAAATCTTAGGTATCAAAATACAGGTATTCAAAAGAAATAAAGAAAAAATTTATATATATATATATATATATATATATATATATATATATATATATATATATATATATATATATATATATATATATATATATTTCATTATAGTGTAAATTGCAGCAGAAATTTAATTTTTAATAATAAAAACCATTCTGAGTTGGCTTTCTTTATGGATCACCAAAATATCATCGAGGACAATTCAATTTGTTATATTTTGCCTGTGGACCCCCAGGATTTATTATATAGACCGCTAGGGCCCATGTGAACCCCAGTTGAGAACCCCTGATCAAGGTTGATGCGAGTGTGTGCACGAAGGCTAATTCATGATACAAGATGATGGCAGAAACAGGCGAAAAATAACGAGTTGAAAAAAAAATACCAATGAGAAACGAATGAAACGTTATTCTTTACTTATCTCATTTAATGTTACATTATTTTTTATTACTGTTTGAATTTCACGGATGAGAAGCTATCATTATTTACGCTATTTATATTTGGAATATTATCCTCATCTTTGTTGTTGCTATCATTTTGGCCGTTGTGCTCTCCGGGCTTCTTCAAGTGTACATTGATCTGGGTAACCTACAGCGAATTCTGAACTGAACATTTTATTTAATCTATGACACCTAACAAACCTTTTCTTCCTGATTTTTCAATCTAGTTAAAAAAAAAAAATGCCATTAGGATTACGGTCATATCTTGTTGAAACACCGGTTCACGAACGATCACCGAGGTTAAGCAACGTCGAGTCTTCACAGTACCTAGATGGGTGATCGTTTGGGAATACCAATTGTTGTAAGTTTGGATGTGCGGGTGGTGTAATGAGTGATAGTTTTGAATTGTTAATCGGTGAGCCGAGTTCCAATTCCAGTCGGGTTCGTTATATTTGCTTAAGCGCAAATATCCTTGGCAAAGATATAAATTCACCATTTCTTCCTCAGGTTGACTGGTAAGATTTGTAGCAATTTATATGCAAAATATTCTAACGGTTTAAAAATAACGTAGCTTTAAATAACCTGCTAAAGATTGATAAGATGTAAAAAGTAAATCGTAAGTATTTCCCTCTTATTGTATTCATTATGTCCTGAGAGTGTTAGATTCTCTTAGCCTTCATTTCTCATTATGTGCCTCATAGATTTTAAGTGTCACTTTATGATTATAAATTCCATTATTGTTTCTATGTATACTATGTATATTTGTGCTATAATATATGTATATTTACTATATGTCTACGCAGTTTCATTCACAAGGCTTGGATCAATCCGTGGTATGGTTTTCAGACTCTTTCCAAAGATGGCGAATGCTGGGATCAACCCCTCCAGTCCGATAACATCAGGAAGTCTCCTTCCTGAAAAATCGACCATGGTGAGATTTGAACCCGGGTTTCATGGCCAAAATGCGAATGTTCTAATCACTCGGCCACGTGCCCATAACCACTCAGCCATCGTGGCAAATTGCTGATCACGCTAGATAACACGCTTTTCCGAGAAACTGTAACTAAGGTCTGCTCAGCATAGTCGGGCTCTCTGGCCGTTGAAGCGTCTGCAATAGGGATTGGCTAGCCACCCTAGTAGACGGGTATCCTTGAATAGTGGCCAGTTATACATTTACTATATGTATATTTCGACTATTGTCTCCTGACGGTTCTCGTTCCACTGCATCTTGGGATCTCTCGTCTAGTTCTTATTTTTATTTTATAACTGATTAGTTATTGTTCGCTCGTTTCCATTAAGTCCAATTAAACACTGGCTGACCCAAGGATTGGACTCACAATCACTATGCACTAAATTCAATTCAACCCACGCTTTAACCCACTAGGCCATTCTCCCGGAGTAAAATTGGAGCTTTAAATCTAACCTTCCTGCTGATTTATGCTGTAACTAACGCTGCTGCTGCTGCTGTTGCTGTTGCTGCCAATCATGTTTTAATTACTGCTGCTGCTGAAGCCTTGCTGTCATTTGTCATTCTTTCTTTTTTAACGGCTTCCATATTGTCTTTATTTCTATGCTAGGTCTACTAAGCAGGTTCTAGCATATGCGCTGATTGTTTCAAGATATAAATAGTGTAAATATTTCTATTTACTATACAGTTTATAGAGGTTCCACATTGAGATGTGAATTTTTTCAACAAGTCATTGAAGCTGGCATTATCAGAATATCGTCTGTTGCTTAATTGTTAAGGCACACTTCGGCTTAAAATGCCGTTTGCCTGATGGAAAAATGGAACATGGGTTCGATTCTCATCGGGAAGAACATTTTCATGGTCTACTCAAAAGTTGCACTTCCTAAAACTTACGTTCACAGTAAAATGAAATAATGTCGTATTAAAATCCATAAACTGGTCTCTCTCTCTCACTCTCCCCTCTCTATCTCTCTCGATATATATATATATATATATATATATATATATATATATATATATTGCATGAATCATTCATACAAAAAGTAGATTAGTAAAGTTAATGATATAAAGTGGCGAAAACTCTTTGCAAACAAAATTTTAAAGTTGCATTAACCTACGAGCCACTCGATGTATGTTATGATCCTTGTTTTTTAATAACTACAAGTTGTATAAGGTCTTTTTTTTTAATCTGCAAGTACTTTCAACTGTACGCACAGTCATCCTCAGGCATGGAAATTATTTTGTTTTTAGTAAATTCAGGTAGTGGCGGAGACGAAAGATTAAATGCGAATCGGTATATGTTTTTTAGAATTGTGTTATTGTTAACGGATAAAAAATTTTGGAGCGTGCAGTCGCAATGCTAAGGTTGAATTTTTTTGAAGATTTAAGAGAGTGCGTTTTTTACTAATATGGTAATTTAAGAACTTTTTTATTGTAGGAGTTTTTCAGTCAATGTGGCATGAACTAAATTGTTTAATAAATAGAGTAATGTCTCAGTTGTTATCCCGAAAATTAGCAGGTCGGCTCAATTCTTTTAAATCAAAATATGGAGGTGGAGTTCAATTCAGTTATTAAAAACAAGAATCATAACATTCATCGAGTAGTTCGTAGGTTAATGCAACTTTAAAATTTTGTTTGCGAAGAGTTTTCACCTCATATTGCTGGTGGGGCTGAAGCAGTTTGCTGTGGGGGTGCCTCAGTCATCGCACCCCCTTCAAACCGAACGACGACAAGAAATTGAGAACGACTTAGAAGAACCGAAAAACACAATAAAGTAACAGCAACAAAAACAGTACAAATGAAAAACTTGACTTACAGAATATTTAACTTTCAGTCAAAAAAATAGCACAACAGATCCAGATAGTAATTCGGATAGTGAGATATTCAGTAACCGCCCCACGCGACCGGATGCGGTACAAGGCCAAGTTTATTGCGGGGTGTCCGACCCATAAGAACGGGGCCAGGTGGCTGTCTATCACTGCAGACGAGACTCTGCCCTTCGGCACAGCCTTGTCTGGGTTCCTCTCTGCCTGGAGGCAGAGAGTTTGACAAGCATACTTCCGAAGTAATTCGGAGAATGAGATATTCACTAACCGCCCCACAAGGTCAAGGTAACAGTGAGATATCCAAGCCTATAGGCTGGGGTAAAATTCCCCGTAAACTACGTAAAAAGGGGGTCAGGTAGCTATCTACCACCCCAGGCAAAGTAATTCAGAGAGCGAGATAACCCTCCCCATCCGGATGCGACACAAGGCCAAGTTTATAGTAAGGTATCCAAGCCTATAGGCTCAGGCAAAAATTCCCCGTAGATCCCGTAAAAACGGTGTCGGGTAGCTGTTTACCACCTAAGACGAGACTGCCCTTCGAAGTAATTCGGATAATGATCACTTAGACGCCCCACTAATTCCCATATATCCATTTCCTTTACTAACACGTGCTCTACTTATTCAAAATAGGATCGCCTGTTTACTCTCTGGTGATCTGTGTTCATCAGCGACACTTTATTAGACACTCTCTCTCTCTCTCTCCGTCTTTCTCTTTCTAGAAATTACAAAGACTTTGTAAGTAGAATAAAATCAGTGTAAATAGAATGGAACTAATATGGTTTGGAAAATTGAAAGTAGGGAAAAGACGTTTGTGTTAAAAGTTTGAAAAAAAGATGCATAAAAAGAAAATATATTAATGAACATAAAAGTGAAAGTGAAAGTGAAAGTGAAAAAATACAGTGGAGCTAAAATTTGAAAACGTACGCGTTCAAATTTTAACTACTTTCGTATTTGGCATCTTCACCTCACGAATTTAAACACAACACGAAATTGACAGATAGGTCTCATCCATTTTTTGTCAAAATTGTGAGCTGCAATCGTTAGTTCTATTCTAATAGTTTATTCTCTCGCTCTTTATTCCACCCACCTCCTTCCCTGTCAAGTACGATTTTCAAAGATTTAAATGCAATGTCAGTCGTCATCTTTTGTCTTTGATTCTCCTGATAAAATCCACGATTTCACAAACATAAGCTCAGAACTAGACTGGCAGCTAGGTCTCGTCCTTTTAATATTGAAATTGCTAAACGTAAGCGCAAGTTCTATGCTAACAGTGTCTTTTTCTCACACATTTCGCTTGTGAAACTCTCTTCGAACGTCTTGTTTTCCTGTGAACTATGACCCGCGAAAATTAAAATGCGACTTCAGCTATTATATATGTCTTTGTAAGTCTGTTCTTTTATTGTCCTTTTTCCTCAATAAACATTTCTCAGTTGTTTTCACGCTTAGTAATCCCTTGCGTTTTAGTGGCTTTATTGCCTTGCTTCGAATGAAATGATTACAAAATGTAGAAGGATTAGTCTTTTGAATACATACACAGGCATATATATATATATATATATATATATATATATATATATATATATATACACAAAAAACAAATATATACACATACAGACCATATATATATATACACACACGCATATACACACACCAATATATATACACACATATATATATACACATATTTTGTATATACACACACATATGTATATACACATATATATATATATATACACTTATTTATATATACACACATATATACAACATACACACAGACATACACAGACATATATATAGAGAGAGAGAAAAATGCATACATACATATATCTATATACACACATATATATATACACTTATTTATATATACACACATATATACAACATACACACAGACATACACAGACATATATATATATAGAGAGAAAATGCATACATACATATATCTATATACACACATATATATGTACACACAAACTTATTTGTATATACACCCGCATATATATACACATACGCACAGACATATATATATACACACATATCTATATACAGACACACGCATATATATATATATATATATAGACAGACATATATATATACACACACTTATTTATATATACGCATACATATATACACACACATATATATGCATGCACATATATATACATGCATCCAGACACACGTTTATATACATATATATACATACATATACACACACTTTTTATATACACACACCTATATACATACATACACACAGACATATATACACGCACAGACTCATATATATATATATATATATATATATATATATATATAAATGCATACAAACATATGTATATATATATATATATATGGGTATGTATGCAGGTATGTATGTATAAGAATAGACTGAATTTTTAAAAGTACAAAAGAAGTAAGGCAATAGAGCTTACGATATCAAAGTGAGATGTAAAATGAGAAAGTAAAAATGTAAAAGGGAAAAATAAAGAAAATATGCATTAACATTTAAAAGTAGAAAACTATATGTGAGTTTCAATGGTTATAATGAATATAAAAAACACGAGTTTAAACTTGA